CCGCTTCAAAGTACGGTGAAAATAACTTACTTTCCTTAAGAATGTATTGAAAATGACTTGTATAAAACCGTCTTTTGTATACAGATTTCGCAGCACCTGTCATGCTGCAGTAATATTGCGCGGTAATATCGTAGATTTTCATTAGGGGTCAGAATATCTGATTATAATAAGGACCTCACGGTTTAAAGCTGGCTATTCCTTACAATAGGCACCCACATTACTGCGTGTGTACTCCTGAAATCATGTAGTGGATGTATAGCAAGTTGCACAATATTTATTGCGCATCTCGCTCGTGTTTGAAAGCACGCTACCCATAAGATAGTATGTCATATGCGAATGCTTCAATGACAGAAGCCACTTTCAGCTTTTCTTATAGGACTGCATTAAGCCAAAATTTAAAATTCTGGAGAGACATCAAACATTCAAATGTATTCACTGAATGGTTGAAGTATCCATGAGGGCAGAATATTGATGTTCCCATGAACTCTAAAAAAAGAAGCTTAAGAGACCCCCACCTTTTTTAGGTTATACGGCACGAAAAGCCCCGTAAAGGGTAGCCGTGGGTGATCCTGAAATAAAACTTTTTAGTAGTGAAATAATGACTTTCGCCAGTATTTAGCGGTGCAGTAGTTTAGGCTTCATAATAAACTGCTGAATAAAAGAAATCCTGTTATCTATGTGGCTCACTCGCTGAAAACAGAGCAGAAAATTACAAATTAAATGAAAGATGGTTGATTCCTTCATCCTATGTATCGGTGCAACTCAATGGTAAATCGTGCCTCCATGATAGTACAATTGAAGTCGCGTGAGCACAAAATGAGCGATAACTTTAACGCACAGTTTACGTGTCCTTCAGATGTAAGATATTGTCTTCTTGCGGTGGCCACTCTCGCTGGACGATGGAAGAAACACGTTATATTAGGTCTAAGCATTGACGCAAAAAAATATGAAGAAACATTTAGTTATACATTAAAGCTACATGTTTCTTGATATAATTCTTGAGTTGGCGTCCCTGCAACCTTCGAGAAAATGACGGACACGCAACTTCAAGGATTCAAATAGGCAACCTGCGTGCACTATTTGGATGTCGTGATAATCTTCTCATCCATATTCGCCACACCTTGAACGCATTTCAACCATTCTAGAAATATTCCGAAAAACCGCCCTCCAGCTCAGTTCCTCGAAGTGTGACTTTGGTCTTCGTCAAATTACTGCATTGGGTCACCTTGTTGATGCTCCCAGCGTACGAGCAAGCCAGCGCAAGTACGTGCTGTAACGAACTTCCCTGCCTCACGCTCTGTCCATGGTGTTCATAGTTTCGTGGGCCTCTGCTGGTACTTTCTTCGGTGGTTCGTGAAGAATTTCGTGGCACACGCACGGCCACTAACCGACCTTCTCAAACAAGATGTCCTATTTTTTTGGAGGACTGTACAAGCTGACTCCTTCTCTCAGCTAATCACCGCTCTAATGACACCTCCTTTCCTCGCACATTTTGACCACGATGGTCTACAGAAGTGCGCACAGGTGCGAGTGGTCACGGCATTTGCGCAGTTTTGGCGTAAACTCAGCGAGAAAACGACCATGTAATTGCATATGCAAGTCGCCTTCTTTCGAGGTCTGAACGCCATTACTCTACAAAAGAACGGGAGTGGATCGCTCTTGTCTGGGCGGTGTCGAAATTCTACCCTTAATTCTATGACCACCCTTACCATGTCATTACAGATCATCACGTGCTGTGTTGGCTTTCTTCACTGAAGCACCCTACTGGACGACTTAGTCGTTGGGCGTTGCGTCTTCAGGAGTACTCATTCTCAGTTGCCTACAAGTCTGGACGCCTCCATCTGGACGCCGATTGCTTGTCCCGCTGCCCTGTCGACCAAACCTGACGGATCAGACGTCGAGCCTATCCCAAGCTTCATGTCTAGGTTTCTTCAGGTTTGTGAGGAACAGCGTCGCGATGCTTACCTGCGGTAATTTACTACCGCCTTAAATATGCTTCGAACAACGCGTCGCTTCACATGTACGTCTTCTTGAATGACACGCTGTATCGCCGCAGCCTCCAGGCAGATGATCCTGAGCGCCTTCTAGTCGTGCCGACACATCTGCGTTCCACCGTGCTGCATGAGCTCCACTACGAAGCTACTGCTGGCCATCTGGGTGTACCTGGCGCGTACGACCGTGTTCATCAGCGCTTCTTTTGACACGGTGTCGCCAAGTTTGTTCACCATCACGTGTTCTCCCGCGATATATGCCAGCGTGGGAAGCCACTTACTACGCCCACGGCAAGACTTCTTCAACCAATCTCCATTCTCGCCGAACCTTTCTTCCGTGTTAGTATAGATCTTCTCGGTCCTCTCCCTGAGTCAAACTCGGGCAACAAGTGGGTTGCCGTTGCTATAGATTATGCGACTAGGTATATGTCATCGTTCGAGAACTCCTTACCAGCACCGTGACGTTGAGGAATTTTTGCACCATGATGCCATCCTACAGCATAGCGCTCCTCACCATTTGCTCACCGATCGCGGCCGGCCAATTTCTTTATGAATATTCAACGCTCATCAGTGCTCTTCCTCGACGCACAACAAGCTTACTTCCAACGATGCCCAAACAAACGGCTTCACCGAGCGCCCAAATCTCACCCTCACGAACATGCTCGCGATGTGTGTGTCGTCCGATCTCCATGACTAGAACCTGGCGCTACCTCACGTGCCAATCATGTACAATTCTTCGCTCCAGGACACCACTGGTTATTCACCCTTTTATTTGCTTTATGACTGGGTTCCGTCGTTACCACTGGGCACCATACTTCCGACTACTGCTACCCTGTCAACCGAACATGCAAGCGATGCTAAACGCACGTCAGATCACCCACTCTAGATAGACTTTCGGCTTTGCAAGCCACTCAGAAAGCCATTTACAACAGCCGGCATGTCGACGTTCACTTCTCACCCGGTTCTCTCATTCTCCTTTGGTGCCCAGTTCGTGAACATGAATTATCAGAGATATTGTTATCTCGTTACATGGGCCCTTACCGGCCCTTACCGTAACGTCCGACAGGTAAACCAACTTGACCTATGAGATCATTTCTGCATCTGAGACCACCTTGCCTGCAACGAAGCCCGGCACGTCAGCAGGCTAAAACCCTACCGCCTACTTTCTAAAGACCGTCCCTAATGTGCACCGGGCCGGTGCTTTTACCGCCGAGGGGTAATGCTACGTAGCTGACATACCAGCGATCAGAAGACGACAGCGAAGAAGTAGACGGCTTGCCCGCTGTGCATGCTATGCTCCGTCTTGGTCGGTGCCAATGCAATCGCTGATAGTCACGTGTCGTTTCATTTTACGTAACAATGTGATCATAGACAGGGCGCGGTACACGACAGCAGAAGAACCACTGCCCGTTAAAAATAACAGACTGGCAAGCGGGAGAAAGGGGTACAGAAAGTTAGGTGAGCAGACGAGATTATAAATTTTGCGGGTATAAAGTGGCAGCGGCAAGCACAGGACTGAGATCACAGGGGTACATGGGGGTGGCCGTTCCCTGCAGTGGGCAAGTCAAACGGCGACGGCGATGGTGGCGGCTGCTGCTGTCGTTGCTGCAGCCACTGCAACGCCGCCGCCGCCGCCGCCGCCGCCACCACTGCTGCTGCTGCTGCTGCTGCAGCGCCGCCGCTGCTGCTGCCACCGCTGCTGCTGCAGCGCCGCCGCCGCCACTGCTGCTGCTGCAGCACTGCCGCCACTGCCGCTGCCTGCTGCTGCTGCAGCGCCGCCGCCACCGCCGCCGCCGCTGCTGCTGCTGCTGCCGCTGCCGCTGCCGCCGCCACCGCCGCTGCCGCCAACACCACTGCTGCTGCAGCGCTGCCGCCGCCGCCGCCGACGCTGCTGCTGCTGCTGCAGCGCCGCCACCGCCACCGCCGCCGCTGCTGCTGCTGCTGCTGCAGCGCGCCGCCACCGCCACCGCCGCTGCTGCTGCTGCTGTAGCGCCGCCACCGCCACTGCTGCTGCTGCTGCTGCAGCGTCGCCGCCGCCGCCGCCGCTGCTGCTGCTGCTACTGCTGCAGTGATGCCGCTGCTGCCGCCGCCGCTGCTGCTGCTGCTGCTGCAGCGCCGCCGCCGCTGCCGCTGCTGCTGCTGCTGCTGCAGCGCCGCCGCCGCCACCGCTGCTGCTGCTGCTGCCGTTGCTGCTGCCGCTGCTGCTGCTGCTGCTGCTGCTGCTGCTGCTGCCACTGCCGCTGCCGCCGCCGCCGCCGCAAGAGATGGCGACCACCGTAGCTCATTGGTGGAGCATGGAACGTCTTATTTGAAGGTGCCAGGTGGGGATCCTGTCAGTGGCAAGCTACCTTATTGTTCGCTTTTCTTTCTTCACACAGACATTGCAATTACTTTTCGTAACATTTCTTTTAATTTTCCTGCAATATTATCAGTTAGGTCTCGTTATTATTGCGTCCAACAAAGAAGACGAGCGCCTAAATTTACACTTTCCTCCACAAAAACTGGAAATTAGCTTGTCGCTAATGGGTAAAAGGGGATGTCCTTGGTGGAAAACGTTGCTGGAAATAAGTGTAGTGTGTACTACGAAGGTCGCAAGCCCTATATACCCTTGAGGCGCAGTGGCCACATATGCGGACGTGTTTTACCAGATTTTCGGACCCTTTTGAAAGAAAGAACAGGGTACATTGCGCATAAGATCAATTGAACCATCTGTATAGTGAAGGTGTCTTGATTTAACCCGAATTTACTGCGAATAACTGAAGCCGATTCCTTCCATAAAAGCGCTAAGATGTTCGGTTGGTCGCTCGACGTGCTGTGTTTCAAAGCCATATTTCTATTTATTATTTTTCTTTGTCGAAGAGAACGCAGTCCAAAACAAACAGTGTGGGCACTTCTAGCCTAGTATTTCCTTTTTGTGTGTAAAACATTCAACGTGACTGTCCGCAAAATAATTAGGCACCTAAACATATGCTAATCAATACTAGTAAGCGAAGCTTGCCATACAGAACAAATTTCTTAAATTCTTTATTTGAATGTAATATGAAGTGCATTAAAGCTATGTTGTGCGAAATTTAGACACCAACAGACATTTCATCGTGATTCGCACCTGAAGGGGAAATTAAATGGGTGCTATTGGCATAGTAGCAGTTTCGTTTTTGATCTGATTGGGCAGCTGGTGAAGTCTCCCGTACAGCTCACTACGTTTGCTCTCACTTGCAAATTTCCACCTATACTTCGTTCATTATGTCATTTATAATTGAAATATGTGAGCTGAGCATATAGCCTGTACAAATTTGGTTTTCCTATGCGTCTGCGTACAGCCCTTGCGCCAATGCGAACATGTTCGCACAAGACTGCAGGACTGGCCTTCCGTTGCCTGCATGTGCTCGGACATGGCTGGAATCCTTCACACACTGCGCTTGTAGAACTTTTTCTTCTCCATCCGCGATGCTTCCTTCTTTTTGCCGCTACCCTCTTCGTGCAAGAGCCGCTCCAATGAAGCACGATCTGGTAGCAATCGCACCACAACAGGCTCTACGATCCTTGGGTCTGGCGTCCTGCGATCAAGTTCGTGATGTATTTTTGTGCCTTTTCCTTCCTCGATGTCTTCATTTGAATTAGGATTAGACGTACATATTGCAAAATTACTAAATTCTACAGCTACATCTGAATGCACAATGCACCTCCCCCCCCCCGCCTTTCGGTGCAATATTGTGCACACAATTTGAGGAGCAACTTCTCACGAGCATGGGGAGCAGCTGTTAATACAGATTTCCGAACCACCCACCGATTTACATGCTAAAGTGGGCGCCTTATGCATCCAAGATAAAAGTGTGTGAAAGTTCCCGACACAATAGGAAAAAGGCCAGATAACACTGTACTAGGTGTCAATATTTAGGTATGTTCACACTAGCTCTACTTTGAAAATATCCTATGTTGATTCGCTAAATTGTAATTGCTTGTAGGCTACAACAACTGAAAAAAATTACGGCATATTCACGGGGTGAATGATGATGAATGGGCGAAGCTCCGGAGGGATTCATCGGTAAACTGTGAATCTTCCGTGTAATTCGCCCAGTCGAACATCATGTAAAGACGTGAGAAACGCTGTGTGTGTATATACACAAATCAACTTTTATTTGTTCTTAGACAATGGATGGCTTGCGATGTCCCTTGCCTCGCGCGCTCGCACATCGGGATTCTGTCTGCGAGCGCGCGCTGCTGCCGCCTTGCGCTCTCTCCGCTGTGCAGCCTTATCCATCCGGCGACTCCGAGCGCGCGCCAACAGCGAACGGATTTTATTACAACGCTCCCCCTAGCGTACGTCGCCGCACTAAATCGAACGATTGCCTTCAACCAATGACACGCGCCATATGTGACATCATTCCTATTTTATAAGATCTCGCGTCTTTCATCAACTACAAGTACCGCTTTCTAGTTTATAACATCTTGCATCTTTTCATCATCAGCTACAAGTACCACCATCTAGTAAACACTACAAGAACTAAACGAGAGGTGGCTACATACAGGAGTCGGTACCGCCATTTAGTGAACACTACAAGAACTGAACTAGAGGTGGCTACATACAGGGGACGGTACCGCCACCTAGTGAACAATGAACACTACAAGAACTAAACTAGAGGTGGCTACATACAGGGGACGGTACCGCCATCTAGTGAACAGTGCAAGAACTAAACTAGAGGTGGCTACATACAGGCTACAGGGGACGCACAGCCCACGCCCTAAGGAGCTTCGCCCCTAAAAAAAATTTTCAAGAATGAAAGGCGTTAGAGAACTGTTGTTATTGTTTCATAGTGCGTTGCAGCTGTATCACCAATGAGGTTAACCTTCTCGAAACATGTAGCAACCCTTCATGGAGCGTTAAAGAGAGAAGGAAATTCTTTTCACGGCACATCTGTTTTCTTCTTGTTTGCCGTGTGTCATAGATAGAAAATTATACTCATGATAAACCAGCAACTTTCCTTTATCTTCGTGCTCTTCTGCTATACACCAAAGAGGTGTGCGATGATTTGTCTTACGTAAGATGCCACAATTCTGATGGGTGTGAGAGTGAGCACCGAGAGGGCGAGAAAAAAATAATTCTTCACGACACTATACTTGCACCTGTATAACTATTATGAGAAGGCACGTGCCGGAAAGCCCTGCTGCTCATGCAGGCTAGCATAACACAGGGTACCGTGTAAAGTATCATATTCAAAAAACATTTCAACGAACTATTACTGCTTACCTCAGTTATTTCATTTCGAGGTAAATGAACATCTTACTGGATGTCAGAAGGTATTTCGCGCTATGAAAAAAGAAGCGCGCGAAACGATGAAGAAATGCTAAAACTTTCCCCTAAAGGTGAAGCATGCTAAGCGTTGGTACTTTGATTTTATGCAATAAGTGTTTATTCGCTTCGCACGGCAATACTTTTGAGCCTTGAAAATTGAAAAGGAATTAGCACCAACATATACAAGGAGAGTGTATGAAATAAAATAACGCAATATTTCCAATTATTTAAATTGATGCTGCTTTATAATTTGTTAGATACTTTAATATAATCGATACTACTACTGTTCATTACCGTAAGCCATGCAACTCCACATACGATACTGTGTCAATTCCAGGTGCCGTTTCAATGCTGCTTTTATTTAGAGCTAAACTTTCACCAAGTACAGACGATATGACTAACCCTTTTTTATAAGGTAAGCGGAAGCTATAGCAGCTTTTACAGCTCGTATGCTTCAATTGTCCTTGTCGTAAGCTAGGCTGCATAGGTATTGACTCTGGGCATGTGTTGTTCTTGTAGTGAAAAAAAGCAATGGCAGTCTTGTGAAAAATTATCGTCCTATATGACTAACAACAATATGTTGTGGGCTACTTCAGCATATATAATTTAAAAAAATTAATACGTAAATAGCTTGTAACAGCACATTTTGTTCCGGCTTACATAGTTTTCACAAAGCTTTCTCTACTAGAACACACCTAAAAACCTGCTCACAGTTTTGGATGTCTTCCTTATGGATCCGTCCGGGTTGATGTAACAATTATTTAGGAGGACGTTTGCCGTTTCATCAAATAGCAAGCTTATTGATGAACTAGAATTAATGGTACTTGCAGCTTACTTTAGAAACTGGCTTTCTGCCTAAGAGACCAACCACAGAGATTTTGTTCAAAATACTGACACTCATCCGAGCCGCTATCTGTTTTATATGGAGTGCCCCACAGCAGAGTGCTTGGTCTGCTACTCTTATTATTATTTACTAATAAAACACACTAATAAATTGGCGAACATTCCGCTATTCACGAACGCTTTAGTACAACATATGTTTCCCTTCCATTTGGCATGAAGATTTGCCTTCCTAATGTGAAATTATAAGGTTATCCTAGAACATTTTGCGCAACAACGCAAACGGATCGTAGAGAAAACAAGTAACCAGACGCTCACGCCAAGATCGGTCGACGACCACAGTGAGCAATGCAGTAGAGCAGGTTGATGCAGCACAGATTGGCACAGCATTTGATGGCTAGCAGAAACATGAAGCAGAGGAAGACACACGCGGTGGTCAGCATCACCGACAGCAGCATCTCTACGTCATCGCGGAGGGCCGCAGGGGCCACGACCACAGGAGCCCCGAACTCTGCAGGCACGGCGGAAGTGGCGGACAATGAAACTGCCGATGAGGAGCTGTTCGTCATTGCCAGAATTCTGCGCAAGAAGATAAAGATGCCCCCGTCTAAGTGTGCCACCACCTTCAATCGTTTTTTTTTATTTTGCTTTAGGCACTGTTGCTATCATCAACAACGTCAGCACTTTTTTGACGTTTAGAGGCCTTATCTAAGGCATTACGTAAAGGAAGGAGCAAACAGATATCGTGAGAAACTTTCATTAAACAAATGCAATGTTAAAAGGGGCCCTAAACACTTTTTGAAATAACCATGGGATGGATTCACTGAAAGAGTTTACTGCCTCACGAAGTAAATGCCGCACAAATTTTAAAAATTCGTCCGGTAAGAGTGGAGTTAAAAAAGCTTGTCGCACACTGCAATTGCAATCTCTCTTCTCTCGTCCTGACGAATGCGCTGAAAGCTAAGCAAGGGGGAAAGGGGGGGGTGGCATGGGCAAAGCAAATATGTCATGCACCTCGTGCCCTTGAGCAATTCTTCTCTTTTATTTCTCTTCTAACGCACGGCTTGTTTAGTGTGATCGAGCACACACGCGTGGACAAGTCCTGGCATCCCACGGCATCCTTGTATGACAAAGCGCACCATGTTCAAACCAGCCAACGGCTGATGGTCCTTCTACGAGTAATTTTGAGCTTCCTCTATCCTTTGCCGAAAGAAGAAAATTCAACTTTTCGCTGAGTTTGATCATTTATTCTGAATCGCAGGTAACGTGCTTTGCTATATTATTTGGCTTGCGTGTTGTCGGTAGCCTCTAGTACCGATTACCAGCGCTTTCTGACCATGCTCAAAAAAGCTGAAGGGCTCATTATTAAAAGTAAAACAAATGTACCTTGTGCAGCATTTGCACACAAAAAAGCAGTTTATAAAGCATGTTCTTTGTCAGCTTCAAGTGGATTACACTAAAAACTTGAGCCGCATCTATTGAGCAGCAGGCCTACTATACTGAGAAGCGCTAAAGTGGAACATCTCAAACCGTCTATAGTATGGCAGAAATAACTAATGCATCATAAAAAGCACCTGCGGATAGCAGAAATAACTGAACACAAAAGGTTTTCTTCGCATGGCTAGATTTTAGCTCAAATGCTTATAAATGGAGTGTATTCACAACGTGGGCCTCACACGCTTGCAATGCGTACTTTTAATTCATCTCTAGGAAATGTGTCCTACACCCGGTGTAAAACAAAGAAGGCTGTCTTATAATGGATACACTGAGCAAGTTCATATCAATTCAGGCTTCGGACTATGAAGCACTCACAAAAAACGACAAAGGATCAAAGAAGTGCAGAAAAAATGTGCCGACTTTCTGCTGACGCTTTGTTGGGGAACTGCACACACAGAAAAACACGGACACAAAAGAAGTTGAGTTCAGAGTCAGCGCATGTCTTAAACACCTCTTATGTTCTCTGTTACTTTTTGTGAGTGCTGTAGTTGCCAGTATGATAGGTTACGTGTGTCCTATAAAATTTATTGCTTAGAAGTTTTCAAGTTTATATAGTTATTTTACCATCCTGAGTTATCACTTCTACGTTTCAAAAATTTTATAACTTGTGAATTATAACTTCGGAATATTTGGCGCCACACAACGACCTTTCATGTATAGTAGGCACCCACGTTGTCTGCAGTAATGGACCTGTTCATTTTTTGCACGCAGAAATGTTGTATAGTAAGAATGGCGAAAGGTAACCAGCCTGAACTTCACTGTTTTATTATTTTCCATTTATCTACTTTTATTACTGGCACCTAGTTAGTCTTGGATGGCAAGGCTAGACGTAGAACATTGTCGGCCTGAATAAGGCCTTGTCACCCACACATGCTCTCACAGTGAGGCAGCACTCAACATAAAAACCTGTATAAGTCTGGGCAATAGTGTAAAACGTAAACTTGGAACAGGTAAAAGTAAAAAAAACAACAACGTATTTTGCAAGAACTAACATTTTAATATAAGCCTATACAATTTGTAACCACAATAATACAGGCACAGGTGTGGCGCAAACTATCGAAAACTCTTGAAATTATTATGCGTACAATACGCAGGCGAAACGATACGTCCAACAGAATAGGCATATAAATGGATTCAGTAAGTATTAGAAAGCTAGTACATCATCTTGGCATTTTTAATGCAACCTAAAGACATTTGGTTAAGCGGAGTAGTAATTTTGGTAGGATGCAATTTTATACAGGACGAGATCAAGTATATAAAATGTTTTGTTCGGTGTACTGTCCTACAAAAGAGAACTCTAATTTGATCGTGCCTGCTATTGTATTGAGAATCAGTTGTAACGTACTTTTGAAGGAAAAGGAATGAAATTTTTGTGTCATTTTTTTTTCATTTTTTATCCACATCGTGAGCTCAAGAATATATAGGTCCTTGTAAATGAGTTCCGTAAAAATTATGCAAGTCCGTAACTTTTAGAAGGTCATGTTTTGAGAATAGATTTTCCATGTAATCCCGGTATGCAAGGTTATTTCATTGAGCAAACAGCTCGCTTCTGTGGAGTTATAAGCCGAATCAGATTTGATTACCATGTCATTCTCCATATCAGTAGGCATTAACTAAGATGATCTTGAAAAAATGTGTTGTAGAAACGACGTTTCAAACAAACAGGAACTGACTGCATAATCCGGAGCTATTACCCAGATGTCCTAGAAATGCTTGAACTAACCTTCATAGCATGAAGTGTGAAACTCGGCTTTCCATCAAAAAACCTCTGAGAAACATAAAAATGGAATTCATTTGATTGCAGCGTCATTAAAATTGATACAAATAGAACAGTCCCGAAGTTTATTCACGGGTTTAAAGACAACGTATTTGCTTCTATTGGTGTGGTTCGCTGAGAGAAAAAGAGAAAGATTATCAAGCCTGTTATTACCAACGATTTCGAGCTTCCATAATTCGTGGCTGAAAAAATGAGAACATTTGTCGTCAGTGTAGAAAATTATATCAGGAGTAAGTAAAACGTTATCAGTGTCATTTATATAAAAATATTATACAGAACATAGAACGTATATTGATTCTTGTAGAAAACTAACACTAACTTTTTTGTTAACAAAGCCGTTACGACACCTGTATTATGATCTCCAGAGAAGTTATTTGGAATGATGCTGAGTGACCTAAAGAATTTCTTAGTATATCACTTTGTTCAATAGGATCCTATCGAAAACAGATTGAAGCTGGAGCTCGGAAGTGAGGAAGAAGTAGTGGCCGTGGGCACGCTCTATAAATTTTCGTAATCTCGTTCTGTCAAGAATAAACCAAAGACGTATCGGTTCTGTGGTCTATCTTGTTCTTTTGAAACATGGTGCCGTGACCAGGATATCTGAGGACAGACGCAAAGACTTAAACCACATTAGCAACAACGGGTTGAAGAACGAAACAGCGGCGTCTGGCTCAACGACGTACCGTCGAGGGAAGGACCACGACCGATGACTGTAGGCGACGCACATACACAGGCAAGATCTCTTTCAACACGTTTTAGGCATGAACAAAGAGGCCCTATTTAAGAAGCGGAAGACGATACGAGCAATTGTGACAACGCTTACGAGCGCAATCGATAAGAAGTTAGAAGACGCCGATCGAGCGCAACTTATGACGCTTCTAAACCAGATGAAGAGCATGTCACAGACGCTATGGCAAATTAACGAACAGACTGAACCGCTCATCGAAGAAGCAGACGTGAAGGCGGAATTTGATAGAGTTTTGCAGTATGAGATGAAGATCGCCACTGCAATGACAAAATAGAGCAGCAATTACGTGAGATAGATCAAGCGACGAAACTAACCGCGAGAATATTCACAGAACAGGCGAACTCAGTGCGATGTACTAACCAAATCTCGGAGACGCAAGAGATTGTCAAGTTGGTACGTCATAATATGATCAAGTTTGATGGGAGAAAATCAGCAAGGCCAAGGTTTTGGCTTCAGTTTGAGACATCGGTGCATAAATGATTGAACATGCCGAAGAATCAAGAATTTATTTACCTTCTGGCGTCTCGGAGCGGGGAGGCTGCGTCTCTAATAGAAGGTTGGCAGTTTTCTGATCAGAATTACGAGCATGCAGTCGATCTACTGAAAGAAACCTTCGGACGTCAAGGCCATTTTAGAAAGAGCTATATAAAATAGCTAGCAAACATGCAAGCAGTGAAAAAACCTGAACATGTAGATGGGTTGAACAAACTATGCCAAAAGTTTCAAGTGAACACACGAGCATTGCAGTCGTTAGGAGTGGAAATGGATAGTTGCGCCACTGTGATAGCACCTGTTATAAAATCTGCGCTACCGGTGAATATGAGAATTGAGATGAAAATGAAGGAGATAAAGAAAGGCGAGAACAGACCAGTAACTACGAAATTGGACTCAGCGTCAAGAGACAGCACAAGCAGTTTGAAAGAATATATGAAGTTTTTGAAGATATATATTCACAGAAGGGAAGAAACTTGAGAGGAAAAATACGACTTGACCCAGTCACTGCACAGTGTGAAGCGGACTAGAACATCTACGCTGCAAAGCACCTCGACGAAAAAAAATGGCAGCATGTCGACGAGTGAATGATGGAGAGTAGGGCGAAGCATCCGTCCGTCCATTCGTTCTCGCTTCCGTCCGTCCATGCGTGCGTCTGTGTGGCCGCCCGTGCGTCCATTCGGCCGTCCGTGCGTTCGTCTGTTCGTGCGTCCGCAAGTCCATCTGTGCGTCCGTCCCTGCGTTCGTCCATGCATCCGCTCCTGCGTCCATCCATGTGTCGATCCGTTCGTGCAGCCATCCGTGCGTCCGTTCATGCATCTGCCTGTGTGTCCGTTCGTCCACCTATTCAACACTCCAAATACCACCATCGCGTCTCTTTTCATCATATATTCCTTATATAGAAGCACCGCCATCCAGCGGACATTCAAGGACATAACGAGAGGGGGCACACGCACATTTTCTTACGGCTTGGGCTTCGTGTCTACTTCCCACTTTTAACCACTTCGAGCTCACAGTATACACTAGTTCACAATATTCATGGCACTGCGGCCCAACACTCGCTAA